CGCTTCACGGCACCCTCTTAAGTGGTTGACAAGAGTCAGCATATTGTCCCGTCCCCCCATCCCAACAATATGGGTCCTCATTTTACCGACCTCAGAAGGATGGAAGGCTGAGTCAACCTTGAGACAGTCAGGATCAAAAACTCCTGGCCGTCAGATGCTCAGCCGAAGAAGCGAAGATGAGGAAGTGGACACCGTCGGAGGGAAGCCACAAAAAGTGCTACAGGTGGCAGGTCTGACACACGCAGCCTTTAACAGGGACAAGAAGAAGTTGCAGTGAAGAAGACTCTTCCATAGAGAACATGAACCTTGAAGGTGATGGCCAGGAGGTACTTAGAGAAAAGGCTGGTCTGTTGTGTCAGCTGTTTTCTTTCCTTGCTTCACAAAGTTAGATTCAGGATTTTCTATCCTTCGTTGTTGTTAGTTGCGAAGTCGTGTCCGACCCATCGCAACCCCATGGACAACGTTCCTCCAGGCCTTCCTGTCCTCTACCATCCTCTGGAGTCCATTTAAGCTCACGCCGACTGCTTCGGTGACTCCATCCAGCCACCTCGTTCTCTATTGTCCCCTTCTTCTTTTGCCCTCCATCATTCCCAGCATGAGGCTCTTCTCCAATGAATCCTTCCTTCTCATTCGGTGGCCAAAGTATTTTGAGTTTCACCTTCAGGATCTGGCCTTCGAAAGAGCAGTCAGGGTTGATCTCCTCTAGGACTGACCGGTTTGCTCTCCTTGCAGTCCAAGGGACTCGCAGGAGTCTTCTCCAGCACCAGAGTTCAAAGGCCTCCATTCTTTGGCGCTCAGCCTTCCTTACGGTCCAACTTTCACAGCCACCCATTGCAACTGGGAAAACCATAGCCTTGACTATCACTACAATTGAAGATTCGGAGTGATTTATTGGAGGGTGTCCCAAAAAAATAATCAAAATGGAGGCTGCGGTCATGTGATATAAGCTCATTTTAGATGGTTCACCAATTTGTAAATGCTTTATAGCCAGGAATAGCATATGGGAGAGGCTGACTCTTATCAATTATTTGCCTATCTCTCAATACTTATTTTTCCAAAGACTGTGATTATATGATGATTTATATTTCACTTGATTTAAGGTTAATAAAACCACAGCTTCTTTTTCCTCTGGCAATTCACAGCAGCGTGCATAGTGTTTACTCCGCTCATTTCCCCCCCCACAACAACCCTGTGGGGTAGGCCAGATGCAGAAAAAGGACGAGTCCTAAGTCCACAGGAAAGTTCCATGGCTGAGGATGGCTTGGAAGTCCATGTTCCTTCTTCAAGGACTTTCTCACAATGAAAGGTTCACTACCACCCTTGAGTCAACAAATATTTTGACCTGGCACATCTGGCCATTTCTGCCTCTATTGTGAGAATAGAATAGAGCTGGAAGGGACCTTAGAGGTCTTCTAGTCCAGCCCCCTGCTTAGGCAGGAAACCCTACACCACTTCAGACAAATGGTTATCCAACCTCTTCTTAAAAACTTCTAGTGTTAGAGCATTCACAACTTCTGGAGGCAAGTTGTTCCACTGGTTAATTGTTCTAACTGTCAGGAAATTTCTCCTTAGTTCTAAGTTGCTTCTCTCCTTGATTAGTTTCCATCTATTTCTTCTTGTCCTACCCTCTGCCAGGAGTGCCAAGGTTGGGGAGATTGGATATGCCTGTCCACCCCCCCTGGGGCTCACCAGTCAAGACTGAATCCAAATAATAATAATAATAATAATAATAATAATAATAATCATCATCATCATCATCATCATCATCATCATCATCATCATCATCATCATCATCATCATCATCATCTGACTACCTACAACGCCATGACCGTGTTGCTAAGATCATTCACTGGAAATTGTGCCAGAAGTTTGGATTTGAGTACAGCAAAAACCACTGGGAACATCAGGTTGAGAAAATTTTAGAGAATGAGAAATTCAAGATCTTGTGGGACTTTAGGATTCAGACTGACAGGCACTTGGTCCACAACACACCTGACATAACAATAGTTGAAAAGAAAAAAGTATGGTTCATTGACATTGCAACACCTGGTGATGCACGAATTGAAGATAAGCAGCAAGAAAAAATCACAAAGTACCGGGACTTGCAAATTGAAGTTGAGCAACTGTGGAAAAAGAAATCGTGTGTTGTCCCGATTGTAATTGGAGCCCTCGGAGCAATACCCAAAGGGCTACCCCGCTATTTAGAAATTCTAAATTTGCCGGACTTGAACATTTTGACTCTACAAAAAACCACCTTACTCAGAACAGCTTACATCCTCCGACGATAGCTTAACAGTTCCTAGGTCCTTGGTTAGGACTCGAGCTGCTGAGCTATTAACCAGCCTCAAAGGCTGTGAATCTCACTAAAGATTAATCAATAATAATAATAATAATAATAATAATAATAATAATAATAATAATAAATAATAATAATAATAATTATATTATTATTATTATATTATTATTATTATTATTATTACTATACCGCCCTTCTCCCGAAGGACTCAGGGCATTGTACAGCCTATTAAAAGCACAAGACAAACATCAATTAAAATAATTTAAAATTATTAAATAATTCGGCTCAATTTAAAACCCCAGAAATTTAAAACACCCAATTTAAAATTATTATGTTGATAGCCTGCCTGGTGGGGACAACAGGGTCCTGAGTGCACAGCGAAACACCCGAGGTCGGAGATCTTACGTATTTCCGGGGGCAGTTCATTCCACAGGGCTGGGGCTCCCACAGAGAAGGCCCTCCCCCTGGGTGTCGCCAGCCGACATAACTTGGCCGATGGCACCCTGAGGAGACCCTCTCTGTGAGAGCGAACTGGCCGGTGGGAGGCTATTGGTGGCAGAAGTCGGTCTCGAAGGTACCCGGGTCCTATGCCATGGAGCGCTTTAAAGGTGGTGACCAACACCTTGAATTGCACTCGGAAGACCACTGGGAGCCAGTGCAGCTCACGCAGGAGGGGTGTCACGCGGGCACAACGAGTTGCGCCCATAACCACCCGCGCGGCCGCATTCTGGACCAGTTGGAGCCTCCGAGTGCTCTTCAAGGGGAGCCCCATGTAGAGAGCATTACAATAGTCCAGCCAGGAGGTGACAAGGGCGTGAGTGACCGTGCGCAAGGCCTCCCGGTCCAGAAAGGGCTCCAACTGGCGAATAAGAAGAAAAGACCGTTTTATGACCAGACCATAAGGAATCTACAGAATAACAGAGTTGGAAGGGATCTTTGAGATCTTCTAGTCCTGTTCAGGCAGGGAACCCTATTCCACTTCAGGCAAACGGTTGTCCAATCTCTTCTTGAAAAAAAAAACCTCCAGTGTTGGAGCATTCACAACTTCTGGAGGCAAGTCATTCCACTCATTGATTGTTCTAACTGTCATGGAATTTCTCTTTAGTTCTAGGTTGCTTCTCTCCTTGATTAGTTTCCATCCCTTGTTTCTTGCCTTTCCTTCTGGTGCTTTGGAGAATAGAATTAGAATTAGAATAGAGTTGGAAGGGACCTTAGAGGTCTTCTAGTCCAGCCCTGCTTAGGCAGGAAACCCTACACCACTTCAGACAAATAGCTTGACTTCCTCTTCTTTGGGGCATTCCCTGAGATATTGGAAGACTGCTATCACATCTCCCCTAGTCCTTCTTTTCATCAAATTAAACACCCCCGTTTAACAGCGGCTAGAATTGTATTTGCAAAAAATTGGAAAGGAGAGAAGATAATCGCCGATGAAGAAATTATTCGGAAAATGTTGGACTGTGCTGAAATGAGTAGATTTGACATTTGAAATAAGAGGACAGGAAGATCAACAATATTATTTGATATGGGAGATATTTTATCAATGGTTTGACAATAAAGTATGGAGATGAGATAGTATATATATGAAAAGAAATTTCGATGAAATGTTTAAATATCTATCTTCTGTTGGAGTAAAGAATAATTGTTGTAGGATAAGATTTTGAAAATTCGAAGCACGAAATGATTTTAACCGATTGAGATGCTGTCTGTAATTGTTTGTAAGGATGATCTTTTTGTGTTGTTTTTTTTTACTTTTAATTAAAATAAAACTTTTTACAAAAAAAAAATTAAAAAATAAAAATAAAATAAAAATGCCTGCCAAGGAGCCTTGGTAGTACAGTGGTCTAAAGCACCCTGTTATTAAGACCAGCTGCCTGCAATTACTGCAGGTTCGAATCTCGCCAAGGCTCAAGGTTGACTCAGCCTTCCATCCTTTCTAAGGTAGGTAAAATGAGGACCCAGTTTGTGGGGGCAATAAACTGACTTTGCATAAATATACAAAAGTATGAAGGCTGTTGCTTAGCGCATTGTAAGCTGCCCTGAGTCTCCGGAGAAGGGCGGCATATAAACAAAACAAAATAAAATAAAATAAAATAAATAAAATAAAAAAAAAAAATAAAATAAAATAAAATAAAATAAAATAAAATAAAATAATAAAATAAAATAAAATAAAATAAAATAAAATAAATAAAATAAAGTAAAATAAAATAATAAAATAAAATAAAATAAATAAATAAAATAAAATAAAATAAAATAATAAATAATAAAATAAAATAAAATAAAATAAAAAAATAAAATAAAAAAATAAAATAAAATAAATAAAATAAAATAAAATAAAATAAAATAAGTAAATAAATAAAATAAACTAGACACCCCCAATTCCAGCAACCGCTCTTTGTACGTTTTAGCCTCCAGTCCCCTTAAATATCTTTCTCTGGCTCAATCACTGCCGGGCTGCCGAGGAAGGAAAGGCACGGGCAGGGCAGAAATGCAGGTCGTGGGGGGGGGGGGGCCGGCTAGGAGCCCGAGGCTGCCTCGACCCTTGCCCGCTTCCCACGCGTGGAACCCTCCGCCGTTGCCTGGCGCTGCTCCCCGGGCGGGAGGAGGCGGCCCCACCGGCTGGCCAAAGGCAAGGGGGAACTTTCAACCCTGCCCCGGGGAGGGGAGGGGGCCGCGGCCGGCGCTTCCCCGCCTCCTGCCGGCTTCTCTCGCCAGCCGAAGGGCGAGGCTGCCCTTGGAGAAGGAGGCGAGTGCGCCGCTCGGTTCCTCCGCCTCCTCCTCTCCTCCTCCTTCCCGGAGAAGCTTCGCCGGCCGGCCGGGCTCCAGCGCTTCGGGGAGGCAGGGAAGGAGGGGGAAGCGGAGGGAGGCAGGCGGGCGGCAGGCAGCCGGCGCGGCTCGCGGGGGTCATGGAGCGCTGGAAGAACCGGGTGGCGCTGGTCACGGGCGCCTCGGTGGGCATCGGAGCGGCCGTGGCTCGGGCGCTGGTGCAGCACGGGCTGAAAGTGGTGGGCTGCGCCCGGAGCGTGGACAAGATCGAGGTAGGCTGGAAGGGAGGGAGGGAAGGAAGGATAAAGAAGAAGAGAAAGGAAGGAAGGAAGGAAGGAAGGGAGGGGTGGGAGGGAGGGAAGGGGAAAAAGGAGAAGAGAGGAAGGAAGGAGGATAAAGAAGAAGAGAAAGAGAAGGAAGGAAGGAAAGAAAGGAAGGGAGGGAGGGAGGAAAGAAGAAGGTGGAAGGAAAGAAGACAGGGGAGAGAGAAGGAAGGAAGGGGGAGAGGGAGGGAGGAAAGGAAGGAAGGAAGGAGGATAAAGAAGAAGAGAAAGAGAAGGAAGGAAGGAAAGGAAGAGAAGGAAGGGAGGGAGGGAGGAAAGAAGAAGGTGGAAGGAAAGAAGAGGGAGAGGGAAGGAAGGAAGGGGGAGAGGGAGGGAGGAAAGGAAGGAAGGAAGGAGGATAAAGAAGAAGAGAAAGAGAAGGAAGGAAGGAAGGAGAGGAAGAGAAGGGAGGGAGGGAGGGAGGAAAGAAGAAGGAGGAAGGAAAGAAGAGGGAGAGGGAAGGGAGGGAGGGAGGGAAGGAAGGAAGGAGGATAAAGAAGAAGAGAAAGAGAAGGAAGGAAGGAAGGAGAGGGAGAGGAAGAAAAGGGAGGGAAGGAAGGAAGGAAGGAGGATAAAGAAGAAGAGAAAGAGAAGGAAGGAAGGAAAGGAAGAGAAGGAAGGGAGGGAGGGAGGAAAGAAGAAGGTGGAAGGAAAGAAGAGGGAGAGGGAAGGAAGGAAGGGGGAGAGGGAGGGAGGAAAGGAAGGAAGGAAGGAGGATAAAGAAGAAGAGAAAGAGAAGGAAGGAAGGAAAGGAAGAGAAGGAAGGGAGGGAGGGAGGAAAGAAGAAGGTGGAAGGAAAGAAGAGGGAGAGGGAAGGAAGGAAGGGGGAGAGGGAGGGAGGAAAGGAAGGAAGGAAGGAGGATAAAGAAGAAGAGAAAGAGAAGGAAGGAAGGAAGGAGAGGAAGAGAAGGGAGGGAGGGAGGGAGAAAGAAGAAGGAGGAAGGAAAGAAGAGGAGAGGGAAGGGAGGGAGGGAAGGAAGGAAGGAGATAAAGAAGAAGAGAAAGAGAAGGAAGGAAGGAAGAAGGAAGGAAGGAGAGGAAGAGAAGGAGGGAGGGAGGAAAGAAGGTGGAAGGAAAGAAGACAGGGAGAGGGAAGGAAGGAAGAGGGAGAGGAGGAGAAGAGGGAGGGAGGAAGAGGTAGGAGGGAAGGAAGGAAGGGTAAAGAAGAAGAGGAAGAGGAAGGGAGGGAGGGAGAAGAGGGTGGAAGGAAAGAAGACGGGAAAGGGAAGGAAGGAAGGAAGGAAGGAGGAAGGGAGGAGAGGGAGGAGGGAGGAAGAGGTAAGGGAAGGGGAAGGAAGGAAAGGTGAAGAAGAAGAGGAAGAGGAGGGGAAGAGAAGGGAGGGAGGGAGGAAGAGGTGGGAAGGAAGGAAGAAGGAGGAGAGGAGGGGAAGAGAAGGGAGAGATGGGAGGAAAAGGAAAGGAAGAAAGGGGGAGAGGGAGGAAAGGAAGAGGTAAGGGGAAGGAAAGGGCGGAAGGAAGGAAGGAAGGAAGAAGAGGGAGGGGAGAGAAGAGGGAGGAAGGAAGAGGGAAGGAAGGAAGGAAATGTGCGGAGAAAAGATACGGGAGCATTAAGGAGGAAGGAAGGAAGAAGGAAGGAAATGTGCGGGGGAAAAGATACGGGAGCATTGACGGAGAAAGGAATGTCAGAGACTGAATGAGCGAAGGAATGAATGAACGGAGCCATGGAGGGCAGGAGAGAGGAAGGACCGCGGGTGAAACGGACAGAGAAAGAACAAAACCAAAAAAACAACAACAGAGAAAAAGAGGGTGGATCCTTCTTTTTGGGGGGTCTTCTCTTCTTCCTCCTTTCTGCTAGGAGAAGGCGCTGAGCTAAGGCTTCAAGGGAGGCTTCTGCCTTCCCTCCCCCCATCTTAACAACATGCCCCCCCCCCCCAGCCCAGAGCTCGCTTTCTCTGAGCCATCCGGCCCTGCCTTCTGCAGACAAAGCTTCAGAGGAGGACAGATACTTGGGGGAGTAGGGGAAGGTTTGGGGTGCATTTAGGGACCGAGAAGTGGGGGGGGGGAAAGAAGGTTATTACAGACTGCAGAACTCTAAGGTGCCCCCTCCCCTCATGGATGGGGGGGCGAGGGACAAGAGATGGCACGTGGCCTGTTACCCAACCCCCCCCCTCTCCAGGGTCAGGGGAAATCTGGAGCATATTAATGGGGGGGGTGAGTTACATAGAAGGAAACAGCCCCATTGTTCGCAAGGGGCCGCCCCGCTTTTTCCTTTGTTAAGGGAGGGTGAATTTAGAAATCTGGGGAACAATGACCCCCCCCTTTTTTTTTTTACTCTTTGTAGGGTACTTTTAAAGAAGCCATTGTCTTTGTAGTAATTTCAGAAGGGAAAGAAAAGAGAAGACGGGTATTTTTTTTTGTGAGGAGGGGGTTTCAAGTGCCAGAGACCCTCCAAAGCCTTTATTTCCGCCCCTTTGTGCTGTCAGATTATATACGGGAGTGTCTCCCCTGGCTGACAAGTCGCCAACCTCCCCCCCCCCCCCCCCCCACAAGACCTCCCATTTCTAAAGAATTCTTGCTGATCAAAGCATGACACTCACTGTTTTTTTTCCAGCGGATGTGCAGGTGACACCGCTTTGCCAAAACCAAAGTGACACCTTAGGAAGTTGTCCCCCCCCCCCACTTGTAATTCTTCAAATGTCTGAATCAAATGTCTGCTTTTGTTGGAAATCAAGGCAAAGCGTTTCTCTACCTCCGGAATAATTCAGAGAACCAAAAGGGAGAAATTTGGAGCATAGAATTTTCTGCCGGAGAGGCCCAGCTCTTCTGTTTTATTTCTTGCTTTATGGGCACCCTGGCATCCTTCAGATGTTGTGGAGTGGCAGTTTGGTCTAGTGGTTAAGGTGCCTGGCTAGGAGATGGTAAGTTCTAGTCTCACCTTAGGAATGAAAGGCAGTTGGATGACTTTGGGACCAATCACTAGATAGGTTCTAGTTCCACCTCAGGCATGAAAGGCAGCTGGGTGACTTTGGGCCAATCACCAAGAGGTGGTGAGTTCTAGTTCCACCTCAGCCATGAAAGGCAGCTGGGTGACTTTGGGCCAATCACCAAGATGGTGAGTTCTAGTTCCACCTCAGGCATGAAAGGCAGCTGGGTGACTTTGGGCCAATCACCAAGAGATGGTGAGTTCTAGTTCCACCTCAGGCATGGAAAGCAGATGGGTGACTCTGGGCCAATCACCAAGAGGTGGTGATTCTAGTTCCACCTTAGGCATGAAAGGCAGCAGGGTGACTTTGGGCCAATCACCAAGAGATGGTGAGTTCTAGTTCCACCTCAGGCATGAAAACAGATGGGTGACTTTGGGCCAATCACCAAGAGATGGTGAGTTCTCAGTTCCACCTCAGGCATGGAAAACAGATGGGTGACTTTGGCCAATCACCAAGAGATGGTGAGTTCTAGTTTCCACCTCAGGCATGAAAGGCAGCAGGTGACTTTGGGCCAATCACCAAGAGATGGTGAGTTCTAGTTCCACCTCAGGCATGGAAAACAGATGGGTGACTTTGGGCCAATCACCAAGAGATGGTGAGTTCTAGTTCCACTCAGGCATGGAAAACAGATGGGTGACTTTGGGCAATCACCAAGAGATGGTGAGTTCTAGTTCCACCTCAGGCATGAAAGGCAGCTGGGTGACTTTGGGCCAATCACCAAGAGGTGGTGAGTTCTAATTCAGCTTTAGGCTTGAAAAACTGGCTGGGTGACTTTAGGCCAGTCATCCTCTCTCAGCCCAACCCACTCCCAAGAATGTTGTTGAAGGAAAATGGGAAGAGGAAGGAGTACTAGGTATGTTCCTGCCTTGAGTCATTTTTAAAAATAATAAAGACAAGATAAATATCTAACCAATAAATAAGTAAAACCTAACCCCATTGGCACAGTAGATATGAAGCTTTCCAAGCAAGAAGCAACGTGATGTACAGTGTAGATGGCAGAGACATCTGCAGTGCATGATGATGATGATGGTGATAATCTGCCTATTGTTGAATAATTGATAATTACATCTGATAAATAAGAGAAAATTGTTCCCAAATTTATTGCAAAGAGAACAGATGAAGTAGAATCTTCTTGGATTTGCTTAGTTGACTTAAGTCTTGCGTTGTTGTCTTTTGAGCAGTCTAGAGGACTATTGGCTTCTTACCTTTCAATTAAATCTCTCCTTCTCTTCTTCTTCACCATCATTATCATCACCATTTTTGAGTGCTCTCTTCTTGATTTAGATCATTTTTTATTTTTATTTTTGGCCTATTTTCTCAACCCTGGTTGCTTGAAGATGTGTGGACTTCAACTCCCAGATTCCCCAGCTAGCATGCTTTCAAGATCGAAAAATACGGGTTAGGCAGCCTCACCACCAGATGGATTCGTAACTGGCTGACCAACTGCACTCAACGTGTAGTCCTCAATGGAATTGCATCTCCATGGAGGGAAGTACGCAATGGGGTACCCCAAGGCTCTGTTTTAGGCCCAGGACTCTTCAACATCTTCATCAATGATTTGGACGAGGGGATGGATGGGGAACTCATCAAATTTGCAGACAACACCAAGCTAGCAGGAATAGCCAACACTCCAGAAGATAGGCTCAAGATACAGAAGGATCTTGACAGACTTGAACATTGGGCGCTATCTAACAAAATGAAATTCAACGGTGAAAAAAGTAAGGTTCTACATTTAGGCAAGAAAAAAAATTGGTATAGGTGGCACCTCGCTCAATAGTAGTAACTGTGAGAGGGATCTTGGAGTCCTAGTGGACAATCATTTAACATGAGCCAGCCGTGTGCATTAGCGGAGGGATAGAATCAAGATCACGTGAAGTGTTAATACCACTTTATAATGCTTTGGTAAGGCCACACTTGGAATCCTGCATTCAGTTTTGGTCACCATGATGTAAAAAAGATGTGGAGACTCTAGAAATAGTGCAGAGAAGAGCAACAAAGATGATT